TTTTTAAAATTTTAAAAAAAAAAAAATCATTCAAAATGTTTCATAAACCTCACAAAATTTCTATTTTCTTGCATTTTTCGTTTACGCTAAACAAAAAATGTAATTTTTTCAAGATGAAAGATATGGTACCAAAGTAATGAAATTCATTAACTTATTATAATTGAATGAGTTATTTCGCATTATGAGAAAATACATGCTACAGTAGTACCGTTAATATATTTCGATTCTTTCACTATTCTGTTTGTTCCGTTATTACAGTCAGACGTAAATTCATCAAAGACGTGAAATTTAAAAGTCCAACGATGAAAAGGAATAACTAAAATTCATTGACAGATTTGCTGACAAGTAGACGAAATGGAATGACTTAACTAACATTATTCAAATTGCGTTATCATTTGGAATTATGTGATACTGTATTTTTGGATGAGTTCGAACGGAACTGTCAGATATTGAAATGAAATTTAATTTCTCAAAAAATACAAAGGAAAAATAGGATAAATTTTAATGCCCCTTGAGACTTGAGACGTTTGTAAATTAAATGCTGCATCTTTCAGCTATTCTAATAGATTTGGATTGCGACAAAAGTTTAACTCATCTGTCATTTTCAAATTTAATCATCAAATATCTAAAGTTGAGCAAAAGCAAAACTCAAAATTACCTACTGAACTCATTACTTAAAATTATCTACTGAAGTATGTTCAGACAATGGCTCAAAATACAATCAGTCTTTTTGCTACAATAATAATGCTTATTCCTTAATCAGAAATTTTCCCTGTATGAATATTTTATGATTAAATAAAAAATACTTTTTATTTGTGGAAGAAGAATTCGTTAAAGTAAATTTCATGTTTACTATACATTTTAAAAAGTCCTCATTTTCAGATTCTGAAATATTATCATTACATTTCTATTTTACAGTTCTATTAAGCATTTCATCTTAACATTTAAAATCAAACAAAAGATGTAAATATAATGTTCCATATAAAATAATTTGTTTCATAGTTTAAACAAATTTTAATATAGGAAATGGAAATGCTAAACGTGCATTACAATGTTTTGAAGCGTAAAATGTCATTTAACATTTCAAATTTATTTTATTTAATTGCAAAGAGAAGTAAAAAAAAAAGCAAACATTTACTGAAGTTTTTTTTTTTTTTATTTTCGATTAAAAAATCGTTGTTAAAGAAAACGCATAGGGAAAAGGAAACGAGAGAGAGAAAATATTCCATGCATCTTTTTCGCATCTTTCATATAATTTTACTAAAGTTTACAAGCCTTTCTCTTATAGCTTTCTACCTTTCCCATGCTTTCATTGATAATGATGGTAATCATTTATGCATTGTTGGTTGCTTGTACTACATCCTAACATTGACTGTTTTTAGCCTCTTGCATATTGATATTCCTTTAAAGTATTCATCATTTCCATCTACTCTTTAATTTCTATTTCTCATTTTTTGAACTGCTTGAAACGATTGCGTTCAGTAAATTTGTTTATTTATGTTAAATTGCTGGCCATCTAAGCCGGAAGTCCTATGGAATGAAATTTCGGTTTAATATTTAAATTGCACCAAGTGAAGTGTTGATAAAAGGATAATCATTTTTTCTTTTTTTTTCTTTTTTTTCTGCATTAGGATTTTACTTGCTCGCCAGAATTGAACAAAAAATTTGCCACGAACTAACAACAATTGTCTTTTCGGTTGACCGCCACCTTATCATCAGATCCATAGATCTCACATCCATTATGTCATTCAAACTATTCTTGGTTTTCAAATTGTTAATACCACTAGCCAAAAAAAAAGAAAAGTTTTGTTTACTGCCTCTGAAAGACTACTGTCAACTTTTCCAAATAACTCATATCCCTACTTATCCACCTGTCCTGTTATCTACTGGACAGAAGATACTTCTTGTTATCATTAAAATGAAAAACTTTGAAACAAAGAAGGATGCAATTCCGGTTGTTATTCATGTAGATGCACAGAAAGCTATGCCAGATTTTCCGGATTCCTTTTTCAAGTTGAATCCAAGCATGTATTTAGCTTTTCTCTTTTTATTTTTTTATTGCCATTACTTCTTACAATGTGTTTTACTTGATTTGCGAAAGAAATATTATTTACATTGTATATTTCTTTTTTCTTTTTTTCTTTTTTTTTTTTGAGATCAAAAGCGCAGTCACTATGAATATGGCTAGGATACGTCAGATTATTGCTCTTCGAAAAGCGCTTAAAGCTGGTCCGCTACTACCGCCCATTTCGAAGAGGTTGTTTTTTTTTGAATTTTTGTTAAAATATTAACATTTAAAAATATCTCAATTATATGAAAAATTAAAATTCTGTTCAAGATAATCATTTTAATTTATCAGATTTAATCCATTTTGATATAAAATCTCTTTTTTCTTTCAAAATGCACTTTCTTTGGTTGATTATCACAATGTTTTTATCACTTCTTGAGCAATTGAAAAAGTATAAATCTTTTTTGTCTTTTAAAAGATAAAATTTTAAATCCTTCAAATACAACACATTATGTATGCTAATTTATTGTTTTCTTTCTAAGCCCGCAGCTCTTAACTTCTTCATTAGCTCTTTGAAAATTTTTCCTTTTCAATTTGTTCATAATTATTATTTAATAATGTCAATGTGAGTTGATTCAGTTATTGATATGTGAAATAAAACCACCCTAAGTAACACTGTGCTTTTCGAAACTTTTGAAATACGAAAATCATAGAAGATTCGATTTCCCATGATGACAATTTCTTCTGTTGCCATTCATACTAGGTAGAAAAAAATTCTTAATATATTAATTTGCTTGCAGAAGCTTTTATAACTATTAGAATTCTAGAATTCTTTTATGACTACTAGAAGGAGCTAAGTTATTATTAATTTTTGAAAGCAAATATTATCCTAGGTTCTCAGGGAAACATAGTTTTAACCGTTATTGAAATTCATATATTTGAATTAAAGTTTCTGGAATCCTTCGATGTGCAGCATTACAGCTGTGAAAAACCTTCCGGTGATGGGTTATGCAGCAACAAAATGACTGCAAAAGATATCCTCGAAATCGACATACATATTAGGTTGGTCAACCTGAATACGTCAACCAAAAACAAAAAAAAAAGAAAAGAAAAG